TTAAAAAAGTAATGAGTACTGAGTACAAAGTACAAAAAATTAATATAAAATTCTGCAAAAGTTATGCTCCATCTCTATTAAAATCAGCATAAACTAGCTTAAAAATTGCTGAAAGCTGCCCAACTGTCAGGTCTCTAAAAGTGATACAATGGTCAAACTGAAAATCGGAACATGGTTCTAGAACAATACCTAAGATGTTTCATTAATTTTCAACAGGACAACTGGGTTGATCTTTTACCTTTTGCAGAAGTGGCCTTCAATAACGCTGTGCAGTCAAGCACTGGTTCACCCCTTTTAGAGCAGCAACAGGCCAGGATTTCAACCCCATACCTGAACTACCCACAGAGGAACCCACCATCCCCTCACTAAAAGAATGGATGGACAACCTATGAAACACATGGCCAGTGGTAAGATTGGTGTTTCAGGAAGCTAGAAAGGCTTTTAAAACTCAAGCTGACAAAAAAAGAGTAGATCCCAAACCCTTCCATGTTGGAGATAGAGTATACCTATCNTAAAAGTACAATGACTATATATGTACACTGCTTTGTTCTATTTTTACTTTATATGTTTAAAATTAGATATGTATATTGAAAATGAACTATAAATACATCAACATAAAATGGAGCTTTGTAAAATGGAGACAGATAGCGGAGAGGGTAGGAGGGGGGAAGAGGAGGAGAGAAATGAGGAGTGGAAAGGAGAGAGAGGAGTAGGAGAGAGGAAGGGGGAGTAGAGAAGGGAAGGAGGACAGATAGAAGAAAGGAGGTAGGGAGGGGATGAGAGAGGGAGAAGAAAGTGAACACATAAATATAGTTTATGGAGTGCAGAAGAGCCAGTAACAGGTTTTTTTTCTTTTTTCTTTTGGGGAGTTGATTAGTTGGATTAGAAATATAAAGTATGCATTAATTTTATGTTTTATTCCTGATTCTAGAACCTTCTCTATGCCAAGGAATATGGATTTAGAATAATGATCAATAAATTACACATAATTGTACCTGATATTGCTATTCTCATAAATCTGCAAATTGATTACTGTTTACATTCTGTGTATTCTCCTTATTCTTGTCATATTAAACTTGCAAAGATTTAGAGAGATTGCTCTCTAGCATTTACCTCTCGGTTCCTGGTAAAACTTCTCCAGTCCTTCCAGAGGCTTTTCTGATATGAACATTCTGGCTGTTTCAAGTGCATTCAAGATAACAGGGTCTTTTGTTTTTAGTTCCCTCTTAAAGGCCTACACAAGAAAACAGTAAAAATATAAACTGAGATTTAAGTTGTTTTCATATCCTGATTATATATTTTCCTTTTGTCATTGAATGAAAAAGCAAAGAAAGGTTAAATGTTTTCATGTTCTTTTTAGTAAGTGAAAAGTAAATTTAAAAAATACCAAGATAGTTTGGTTAAATACATCCCTCCCAAAGACTTACGTTCTGGATTCAATCTTATCTGGCACATTGTATTCAATTGCCTAAACATTTACCACCACCCCCTCAAAGTAATAGTTCTCACTCCCTGGTCAAAGCATTTACTACTGATAAGGATTCTATCCCTGCCTGCAATTTCCTTGCACCTTAACAACAGAAATGGAAGGGATGGGGTAGAAGCTGGGGGGAGCGGGTGTTGTTGGGAGGGGCTGAGGAATCAAGCCAGCCATCTGAGCCCTATGAAAGTTCGTTCACTTCAAGGTCTTGTTATGGGAACTCTTTGAACAGCACAGAGTGTTTTTTAAAACACAAATAGTGTGTTGAATTGGCAATGGACAGTGGGAGGCCTCAAGGGGAAAAGGGGAACTTTACCTATGCAACTTTAGAATTGGCTTTACTTCATCTGTACCTATATGGATGTCAGTAAAATTATACTTTTGGCAAAATTATGTGCCAGGAGTTCCCCCCTTCATATGCTAATAGGATAGTTGACACTACAAGATAAATAACCAACAGACATTCTTACAACTTAAATATGTAAAGCTCAGAAGTGAGTTCCTGTACCGGTTGGTATGGGCTCATTGCACACATGCTTTGCAAAATGTATCATACTATACAAAATGTATCTTTAGGGTAACACACAGATAGTTTTGGTAAGAAGTCTGTTATTCAAATTGAAAATCAAATTAAAATGAGTTCAGATAGTTAGTATCAAATCAATTACAAGTACAACTGTGCCTTTTCAATCAGTTTTTTTAGAAATTGTTTGAGTTGACTGTAACTGCACATCTTCTCCTTTAAACAGATTGGGTGGGGGAATGCATACCAATTGTTAAGAGACATTTATTACATCCATTAAACATGTGGTCAAGTTCTACTTTGACATATTTATCAGCTAGGAATGTTTAAATAATGAATAATTTATTTTTTCACTTAGCTAGTCTGCAAGATTTATAATAACAAGTTATATGGTTACATTTCAGTTATCAGCCATAACATTGGCATACAAATGATAGCAGATCTGAATAACGCTATCCACAATGAATTAGGTGAACTGTTCCTAATGACTCTCATTTCTCTAATAAAATGCATAGCGCACAGAGTAGTATCCACTTTATCAATGCAGATATAATAAAGACATTGATCTAATCAATCTTTGCTATCTGGATTGTCATGAATTAGGCCTTCAATATTTTGATCTTGCAATTCAGCTGTTGTCCTAGCCCTTTCATCACTTTTACCTTGCTAATAAATTGAACAATCTATTTGGCTCTGCAAGAGGAAGAGGAGCAATTGTGTCAATATTTTTGCTGTGTCTTTATTTCATATTTCTATTCCAAAGAACAATATTGCCAAGAAATATTTTCAACTTCACAGATAAAAGGTTGAATGCTGAGTCCATCTTTGCAATGTCACTATAGGCTTTGAAATCTTAAAACAAGAATCATAAAATAATACCGCCTCAAAATGATTCCAATCTTTGAGGAGGGCAAAGGTTCAGCAAATATGATATCATTTACAGCAAGCTACAATGCATCAACATGAAGAAACACATGCTATGTTCACATAAATTCCAATACGTACTTGTGTCCAACATCAGATGAACATACCTAAGTCATGTCAATTGTATTATGAAGTCATATGCCTTTCATCACATGACTTCATAATATGGTTGCCATGACTTATGTACCTGCTTTTAGTTACCCCCATTGCAGTTCAACATATATTTTTTATCATGCCTTAAAAAGTGGTCATATTAAGATGTGTAGTTCTTGGAAGGAGGAGCCAACGTCGCAATGTTACATCGTGTGGACTCAACAGTCCGAATCCACCGATGACACTTTTGCCCATGGACAGTCCGGCAGGACCTAAACTGTCCCGAAGAGACGGTGACTAGGAAGACAAGACCTTGCTGGTCGCAGGAACATCGCAAAGTCCCTGATCGACCCAAGAGAAGAGCTTCCAACCGGCGGCAAAGAGGCAGCCTCCAGGCTGAACGTAGTTGGAGATGGCTCCAGAAAAAAAAGAGAAATGAAAGTGTTCCATCTCGTGAGGATTTTTTTCTTTTCTTTTAGAGGATTGCCCTAAGAAACTTCTTAAGCAAAATCAGTCCTTTAAGTAAGAACAAAGCGGCGTATTTAATCCCTATTGGACTGCCTTAGAAAGTTTTTTGCTCTTGCCTGTAATGATGTTTTGTGGATTAAAGTGATTGCACCGTTTCCTGTTTCTCCGCTTGAGGTGAAGGGACTAATCTTTTTTCCTCTATTTCTTTTTACTACTTTAANTGTCAAAATCCTCCCTCTGTTGCTCTATTGCACTCTCCAGGGATTCCATCTGGGGCTTTGGGAGCCTGGCTTGTGCCCAGTCCCACCTCCAGTCCCCCCTTGCCAGTTCGCTTGAGACCCTTCCCTGTATCTGTGGACTAGGGTAAGGGAACTCTATTTCAGCTGCCTTAAGGGCTAATTTCCACCAGTACTCATTCTTTCTTGCTTCTGCTGCTGGGAAAGGCATCCCCGCTTGACTGTTTGGAGTTTTGATGTCTGGAGCTAGCCGCATACCTCCAGCTGCAATCAGTCTCTCTCTCCAGCCATGGTTGCCTGATTTTCCCCCAAGCACCCAAAATTGGGGGAGTGCTTGGAGAGCCCTGGATTTAGGAAACCCAGAAATCTTGATAGATTTTAAATCAGTTTCGGCTCTCTGTGAAGTTTCCAAAGGATGACCTAATTAATTTACAAGCCTTGAGACAAAGTTCAAAAGAAATCCATTCATTTATTAGGTTCAACATTTTGGCATATTGTTCTGTAGAGCTGAAACTGATTGCCGCTTAATTGCATTTGAACTTTACCCCTATATCCCCTCCCCTCTGTCTGTGTCATAAATCACATCCACCAAAAAGGTGCCTATGGCAGGCTATGAACATGCGCATTTCACACACCAGCTGTAGGAATATGAGACCTGACTCTGGCCATCTGGCCACACCCACAGAACCCATAGTAAAAATATTTGAATCCCACCATTGATTACAGTGGCAAAGAGTGCACTGTTGCAAGAACTGAAGGACCAAGTTAGGATAGATCATCAAGAAGAATATATTTATGGCTGCTAAGAGTTGTCAATTACTTTGCATCAATAATCTATCAATTAATCTATTAATTAATTAATGTAAGTAGTATAGAAATGAAAGCATTTTCTTACACCCTATGAATAATTAGCCCACAAATTAACTATAATTTTGCTTGCATTTGGTAATTTTTCCATAATGTATATATAAAAAATAAATTTGGCTACATTAACAAATGAAGTTTCCTAAACTTCATAGACAAATGAAGTTTCCTAAAAAATAATTAAAATAATTTGACATATAAAACTGAATGCCTTTGGAATTTTTCACTATCCTACATTTTAAGGCACAACTAAATTATTTAAGATAGCAGTAATATATGTTTATTTATATTTTATCTCAATATTCAATGTGATTAATTAAAATAATTATGAATTCTCTCTTGCTGTTGAAGCTACAGCAGAATGTTAAATGTATCTTAATGCAAACATCACTGAACAAAAATACCAATTTACCTTCAGTTTTTCAAGATGATCCTGCAGTGAGTCAATGAGCAAATCCCCAACTGGCTGCCAGGACTCTTTGATTGTTTCTGCCTGATGCAGCTTTAGATCGAAATCATCCATTGCCTCATGAAGCTCTTGTAGTCGTTCAAGGGCTTCATCAATCTTTTTTTGCCAGTCGGCAGATTGTAGATTCAATTTATCCCATTCTGTTTTAACATCATCTGCCTGCTTCTTTAGGAGTCGAGTCACATTCTGGACTCTTTCACCCGAAGACAGCTCTAAAAGTGAAGCACATAGATAACATAAATAAAATTTAAAAACAAAGTCTCATTTTTTTTTATTATTAACAGGCAAAAATTAACACCAAAAAACTAAAGAACTTATAATTGACTTCAGGAGGAAGAGAGATGTACATTTACCATTGTACATAAATGGTGAGAAGGTGGAGAGGGTTGGTAGTTCTAAATTTTGGGCATTTATATCTCAGAGGACCTCTCATGGACCGTGAATGCTAACATGCTTGTGAAGAAGGCACAGAAGAGGCTCTACTTCCTGAGAATACTAAGGAAGATAAATCTATCTCAGCACCAACTTCTGTCCTACTATCACAGCACTATTGAGAGTGTCCTGACATACGGCATTCTTGCATGGTATGGGAGCAGCTCTGCAGCGGACAAAAAAGCTCTACAGAGAATCATTAAAACTGCCCAGAATATCACCGGGCTCCAGCTACCAGCCCTGGATGACATCTTTGCATCTTGCTGTTTGAGGAAGTTGCATAACATTCTCAGAGACTCTTCCCATTCTGCTTACAATCTTTTTAGACTGTTGCCTTCTGGTAGAAGATACAGAACAATTAAAACTAGGACCACATGTTTTCTGAATAGCTTTTATCCCAGAGCTATAATTGTACTCAACAATAAACTAAAGGGCCACCATCAGTGAGCTATTGGACAGCCCTACTTAGTCTGTTGTATGAATGTTTGGGTGGTTTACGGGTGGGGTAGTTTTTGGTGGTAGTGAGATGTTTGGGGATTGTTATGTGTGTTGGGCCTGAAGTCTGGGTGTTATGTGAATTTCGTTATATGTGTAAACTGTGTATATACGTACAATAACAATAAAGAAAAGCAAAATATTTGTCTTATATCCGTGGCACTGGCTCAAATTGAGTAGTATCATGGGATTGTATCCGTGGCATTAAGTCCACCTGAGTGGCATTATGGTCACCTATTTCCATATACTTGAAACAATATTAGATTAGGAGACAACAGGAAGTGCTCCAGCTGGACAAATGTGGGAAATGTGGGCTCTTAAGAGTCTCACATGAACCCTGTCTGACAAACCATCTCCGAAGATTCTTTTGAATTTGAACCCTCACTGAAGGTGGAGGTGAAGAAGGGCAGCATTTCATCGGACCCTGAGAGAAGCAACTGATCTCTCATGGGTTAGAGATTTGCCTATGAATCAGAGTTGGGGCGGCAGCCTTCATGGCTGACAAGATGCTGGACTTTTTGTCAAAATAAGTTTGGAACAGGCGGAGACCAGGAGAGATAACAGGCCTGGTAAGAGAATTTATCTAACCCACAACTATAAATTAAAACTGGAAAAGGCAAAGGAGTTTGGAGAACATAAATAATACTGCTGGTCAGATCGGGACTTTTTCTTCTTAAAAGAAAAGCAAGAAAGGAAGGCAGAGGGTTGTAACACCAGCCTCCCGGAAGTTCTTTGTCTGCGCTTTTGAACAGAAGAACACAAAACAAAGCAGCTACAAATCCATATAATTATAAAGGCTAAATTTGGTTTTGGATCTTAAACAGGAACCAATATTTTTACTTTGTTAAAAGTAAAAACAGCTAAAATAATCAAGAAAAAAAGCACATCTTCTTTTGAACCAACTCAATATAAACTCTAATTTGGTCTCAGCTATCAAATAGAAAACAAATATTTTGATCTCTTTTTCTCTGATAACGGATAATCCAACTTTGACTGTGTGAGAAGTTTCAACTAATCAACTACCATAAATCAGAAGCTGCAAGAGCAGGAGACAAAAGAGACAGTACCTAGCTCTTTATAAGTTTGTTCTAATTGATATGTTTTAAGCATCTGTGGCTGATCAGAGACAGAAGGTAACAGGGGAAAGATTTACAGAGATAAGAACTGGACCAATGCTAAGGGTTTTTTTCCTTTTCTCTTTTTTCTTCCCTCCTTCATTGTTTTATTTTATTACAAAGATTAAGATGGCCCTGGCTTCACTTCCGGTCCCACAATAGCTAAAATTTAAGGTGGACCAGAACTCAAAATAAGACTAACTGAAATCTTGGAACTGGATATTAAGGAAGAACAAAAGANCACAATCTCAAGCGCACTAATCCAGAATGTATTATTGCTATTTTGGTTTATAGATATATGATCCATGTGCCGTTGGGCGCACAGGCTACTACCCAGTCCTCTTTGTCTCTCTGACTCCCCCCTTGTAGACAGCAGCTCCAATCATCAGCCACAGGAAAGTTCAAATGAAATGGAATTTAAGGGCCCCTACCTAGTCCTCTTTGTCTCTCTGACTCCCCCCTTGTAGCCAGTAAGTCCAATCACCAGCCTCAAGAAAGTCCAAATGAAATGGAGTTAAAGGGCTCCTACTTTTGTCTCTCTGACCCGCCCCCCTTGTAGAAAACAGCTCCAATCACCAGCCTCAGGAAAGTTCAAAGGAAATGGAGTTAAAGGGCCCCTACCTTTGTTTATAAAGCACATGTTTATAAAGCATATTATAAAGCACATGTTAATTGTTAATATTCTATAAAATAAAACCAATTCAAGCAATCTAAAAATGGATGGTAAAAATTATTAAATTAATTTCAAGAAAAATTAAAATCTTTTTACTTTAATGAATTTTTTTGAACATAGATAAAAATAAGGAAATTATAATTGAGTAATTTTTGGACATTTTGAGGATGCCACAGGGTATAATTTAAGTTAAATTTCATACAAAATATATCAGTATTATATAATGCATGTTTTATTTTCCAACTTTGGCTAGAAGCATGTGAACTTGAACTTATATATGAACTTATGTCCAAGAAATTTCTATGGTGTAGTCTGTTCAAGAAAGGTTTATGGAAAACACTGATTTGGGCTTGACAACTGTGTAAATAAAACTTAAATACATGCATGCAAGAAACCATGCTTTAAGAATTTTGAAAGATAGCTCATCTTATAAAAAAGCAAAAACATGGTGTGGTAGGTAAACAGTGGCAGAAAATGCATATTTTACAAAAAGGAGGGGGAAGGAATGTGTGCACATGAAAATTCAACTGAAAAAATGAAAAAAATGACCAATTCCATGGCCAATTAGGATAATGATACAAAATACTTCTTGGATGAGAATCGAAACATTTTCAAAGAAAAAACAGTAAGTCCAGTTGCCTCTTGAAAAGCACCTTTCAGACAACCATGACCTGGATGACTGAGAATCTCCATAGACATATGGATTAAGTTAAGTTAAATCTATCCAATTATAATTTCATCAACAAAGTATTATTAACCAATATGTGATGTGTGAATGTAGCAATATGTTCTGGTTACCTACTATTTCTAAATAATGTTCTGAATTCCAGCTGTTATAAGTTCCCTGTATTAATGCCACACAAAATCCACATGCATGAATATCATATGATATAAATGCTAATTAGTAATCCATAATATCCATGGTATATGACTAGCAGTTGTCTTCCCAAATTTGTCTTTTTGGAGAATAAAGGAATTGGATCAAGTTAAATCAGAAGAAAAACTTAAAAATATACTTGTCAGCTGTGGATTGCATGGGTTTCTGCAGTGTGCTTGCTATTGACTGCCATAGAAACTGGGAGCGGGGCTTGGGCATTTGGGATGGGGAAGTGAGCTGGGGTGCCCCAAGAGAACTTGAAGAGAGGTTTGTACTCATGAATTATGCTGTTGCTGAGTGGAATTGTTTATTCCTTCCTGTCAAGGTCAACCCTCCAGAGACTCCAGATGCACAAAATACCTGAAGAAGAGCTTTCCCACAGCATCATGCTGGATGTTGATTGGTCTCTCAGTGCTAGACCCTGGGGGGATTTGGGTTGACTTTCAATGTGTAACTTTCATGTGTTTTGAATTAGATCTTGCCTTGCTTTTGTTGCTATGATTTCAAACTTAATAAAAGTACCTCTTCTCTAATTCAATGGATTTGGGGGTTTTCTTTCTTGAGTTTTGAATGGAGACAGGCCTGAAAGTTGTTTTGATTTTGATTTTAGAATTCTAGGATTATATTAGTAAGCCAAGAACTCAGCTGAAACTTGGAAAATTCATTTTAGCTATACACTTGGGCTCCTACTGTAGGTTTTACCTGTGCAAATTGTACTGTTGTCAGATCATATTTAAAACTGACAACATGAACTGACAATTTATTAGCATATGTTAAAATCAATGTCTACTTATATTACAGTCCATTTGCTACTGCTCACATCTTTTTTCCAACCACAGTACTCTTTATTACATAAATTTCAGAGAACAAAAATATATTAGTTAATTTAAAGGTTAGGTTCAGGACTGGCAGTCTTAAAAGAAAAAAAGAAACAAAGTAGAAGCAGTATTCTTAGGACAAAGAAATCAGAACACTAGAAAGATATGAAGGCAATAAAACAATTATTTCAGCAATTAAAATTACATCTCATATTAATATTAATATACTTAGTAAGCTTAAAATAGATCAAATGATATATGATATGTGTGAAACAATGAATTAGAACTGTTTTATTTTTATTTTCAAAACTGTAAGCATGTTATATTTGTCATTCTGACCTTATACAGGTATTTTGGCTTCCTGTATGCAATTCTGGTAGTGAATACCTTATAGAAGCAGCTGGAGTGAAAGCTGCTTCTCTCCGCCACAGTGCTTTCTGGATGGGACTTACAGGTCTGAACCCAAAGTGGTGGCTCACGGCTGCTAATTTCGCTGTGCTGCACAAGACACTCCCTGCCGGCCACCAGCAAAAGCAGCAGTAGAGAAAAGCAGGTGGGTCAGGGCAGTGTCTTAGGGCAGAGAGCACATGGAGCATCTCCCTGAGCAACCGAGGATCGCCCAGCACCAAGGGCTAGAAGAAGCCACTGCAAGTTCAAGCAACATCTTGTGTCCTCTTCTTCTGACCCTTGTGCCTCGGGCACTTGGGGCATGCCTCAGATACTTGAGGAGACACTACAAGTGCTCTTCCTTTCTTCCAGCGCTCACGCAGGGAACCCAGGCTTGGAGGAAAAGCAACAGTTT